TAATTAGAACCGTTTGCTTACCTGTAAAGCTGACTCGTCCTTGCACAATGCCAACAATATTTAACGAAAAACAAAATGACTAAAAGATTTTAAAGTATTTTTTCTCCAAATGTTGGCAAATAAATTATGAATATGTAATCAGGTACTTTTGATTTTGGCTTTGAACAGTGAACAAACTGTTTCTGCCCAGTAAATATCTTCTGTTGTGATCCTGACCATCCATCATTCTATATTTAATCCCTGTCACTACAGTTTGACTTGGCTGGAATCCAGATGGAAGCATCTATATGAAAGCATTTTACGCAGTGGGCTGCTGCACTCGAGCTCATTACTCAGGTGGAATGTGCTCAGAGATGCTGAAGGTGTCATGTGATGGACAAACCTTCTCGGTGAAATTGCTGTTGTTCTTCTTGAGGGTCACATTGATCTCTACTGCTGAGATCAGTGTGTTACTCAACGAATGCTGCAGTAAAGAAGCAGCATGTAAGTGACTCTGCTGTAATGGTCCCTGCTGCCTTCAGGCACTAATCTTCTCATAGGTGCATTGCCATAACAACAGCCCCAGTTGGGACAAAACATTGTTTGTAAGGCCCATGTTTATGTTGTTTAAGTACTGGAGGTAGAGTAGTAAATTTGTTTGTTCCTTTGAACAATCTGCTTTTCCTCTATTGTGCATGCTGTTAAAGTATGAAAAATGAATCCGTGCATATTGTACCTGGAAGTGAAGAGAATCTAATCCCATATATGCCCGGAGGAAATGGGAGTGGCTTGACTTGTTCTGGTTGTGTGATTGCAAGGATATCAAGAAACTGGTCTTATCAATCTGTGATAAATGGAATTTGGAGTTTCTAAATTTTTTTTTCGACAAAGCATTGATATTAGGTGAAAATCACTGCCCTGATTAGCCATATAATTAAGACGAAGGGAAGAGAAGTGTCTTGTCTTCAAATCATCAGAACAAGGTGGACGGCTGGCGCAGTTTGTTTGGAAGAAAAATCAATACATTCTAGGCCAGTGACTTATGAAGAGAATTGCTTTATTTGTCTTGTGTGAGAAGAAATAATAATTGGAGTTGACTTGATGCCAAACGTACAGCTGGGAGGAAATTTACCATTCATATGTGTTAGATATTCTTTTCGAGAAGTAAGAAAATACTCCAATGTGGTGATTTGTTTTTCTTTTGCAAGCGGATGGGGTTCCTCAAGTTTGCAGCCCTGCATTGTGGAAACTAGCCAACTGTTTGACAGACAAGGTTTCCAGGGACAGAACTGTTGGACTGTTAGGTTTTGAAGATTTGTGCAATCCTGGAGATCTCTTAAAAAGACTGATGAGACACATTTTCCTTTCAGTGTGTGATTTGAAAATTGTGACAAACATTTGGTCTTGCTATTGGTGCTCAGCATAAGGGAAAGGTGGGATTGCCTTTTCTCCGTAACTCTTCTTGTATCATGATCTGGGGATGTTCTGTTAAATGGCTGCACAGTTGCCTAATGTAAGTATAGAGTCATATTGATTTCCTAAACCACTTCTGAGCTAAATATGAAAATACTGGCTGGGTGTAATGTGGTAGGTATTCTGATATGGACTTTAAAAGAAAAGCTTGAGAGGAAAAAAAAATTCCCAAAGGCTCATATTTCTTTATCCCTTTGATTCCAACCTGTGAATTTCCTTATTACCTGGTGATCTGTTGGATAATAATCTCTTAACGTACCATCAGCAATGGCATTTAAACTCACTGCAAGATGATGATTGTGCTTGAGAGCAATGCATATTTGTTTCTTTGGTTTTCTCCTACCACACTCTGATCCAGATGATCACAAGAGCATGTTCTTGTTTTTCACAGGCCCAACATGAAGGTGTAATGGTTCACCGATACAATCTAATTGGGAAACATGTAAAGATCAAAACTTTTAACTTCAATCACAAGCATGCACATGTATGTGCATCATGTATACTATTGTGTAAGCTTACTGAGTGATGAAAAGATTGCTGGTATTTAGACAATTTGGAAGTAATAACTGGATATACTTCTGTGTACGTAGCATATTGAATTGTCAAGTTTCATTTTATATGGGATGCTGTATCTTCTAATGCTGCATTTTTTTTCTAATTCTTTTTTTCTCCAGATATTTTGTGGATGAGGGGGGAGGTGGTTTGTTTCTAGATGCATTGCTGCTTGGCAGGCTGTAGAGAACTGCACAAAAGCACCACTTTGAAGCAGTACTGCCAAGAGGAGCAGCTCAGTGGGTTAGGAATTGATGTCCTTCCATCTCGTATGGTTTCTTATCCTTAAGTATGTGTTAGCAAACGTAGTGGGTGAAAAATGTGCTCAGTATCTTTTTCTGTTCCATTTCTGTTGACAGACTTGTCACACAAAATCTGTGGGACTTTTTGTTTCATAGATTTAATACATTCAATAAAGGCATTCATATTTTTCCTGTGCTGAATTCAGATTCTTGTCATTAGTTTTGAAATGTGCAAAACAAAAATTCCAGTTGCTTTTTTGAAATATTTAAACGTAAATATGTATATTGAGAAACTATGCACAAACTTTAAGCCTGTATCACTGAGAGGACGTTGAAAATATAACGAATGGACAGCATGATATCTCAGAGCACAGAGAAATGGAAGGCTTTCAAGTGAGCAAGAAAACCATCGAATTCCTTGAGCATTGTAGATGGAAGTGAATTCTTTGTATCTAGCATAAACTGTGCTCCTTTTTGAAAGGTTTTTAAAGTCATGTAGAATTTTACAGTGCAGAAAGAGGCCATACAACCCATCATGTCTGTATCAATTCCAAAAGAGAGAGAGAACTTATCATCTTGTTTTTCATGTTATCCATATGCTGTGCAAGTCTTACATCATAAAAATATTGGTGAAGTATAACCAGAACAACAGTTTTCCATGCTATCTTCCCCAAGGCAATTCTATTTTCAGAACCCATAAGAGGGGCCTATTTTAGCTTGCAAATTTTTTTAATGCAGCCTTTGTATATGAAGGAAATGTTGACGTGCTGGGAGTTTTTATCCTATTGTACATCAAAAACGTGTGGCTGACTATTTGAGCAACATTGTAGAACAGGTTTGTAGCATCTTGACATTGAGCATATGTAACTGTTGTTTTGCATATATGCTGTGATGTTGGTTTCCAGATTGATTCGCAAGTGCCCTGGCAATTCTTTTCACACTTGTCCAAACCTTGCATTTGTTTGCAAATCTGCTATCAGCACCTGTTCCACTGCAGCATTAGTGGTTTAAGGTTGGAGTACTGTAGATTTTAGTGTTGAGACATTGTAGCAGATTTTGGAGCCAGGCAGGGAATTAATAGTTTTCAAGCGCTCGGATTTTTGTTTACTTTATTTTAAGAGAGTTTGTGTAGGTGAAGAATGGATATATTAGTTGTTGACTGTAACATGGTGAGAAGCAAGTTTGATCTCTGCTGAGCTCCAGATCTTAGTCATGTTACTGTGGGGAATTGCAGGCAGACAGGTTTACACTCATTATGAAGAATAATCAAAGCAAAAAAATGCCTTTGCCTCTTCTGGGCTCTTTATAGCAACTCACTTGGACCACTGCTGGTAGAGGCCAGAGAGAGAGAGGCAGCAAACCAAACATGTTATCTGGACTGTGAATAGTTAAGTCAGGTAGAAGATCTAAAATGTTGAAGATGAGTTATTTTAAGGTGAAAACAAAAAAGGCTGGAAATCACAGAGGGTCAGGCAGCATCCATGGAGAGAAAACAAGTTAACATTTCGAGTATAGATCACTCTTTCTCAGGAATCATGTATTTAAGGGTAATGTATAAGGGAGAAAATTGAGTGTGTCAACAATAATTTTAGTTCTGTAATACCATCATCTTGGGCTTTCAACTGTTCTATTTATACAAATACTTGAGGTTATCAACCATTGAAAATGTCTGCTGTGGTGCTGAGTTGGTTGATTAGAATCGTGAAAGATTTTGCCATTATTCCTGCTACTGATTGCAACCTAGTCTCTTTTTTTTCAGTGAATCATTTGTGATAAATGTTGTGAGGTTAGGTTTGGTTTGGCTATGATTTTGCTGCCTCTGCCAGCTGAACAACTTGCCAATTGGTCACTATCTAGGTTGATGCTCTGAATGACCAATGAGATGAGACAGTGAAAGGCTTTTGATGTTAACTTTGGACCTGTGCTTGAGAGGCAAGGGAAACTATACTAAAGCAAAGATTGTTGCTTTTGTGCTGTATTATTTGACAGGAGGTATAAAAATCTGCGCACTTGAAGTAATTTTGGAAGTGAACTCTTTCCATTTCTCTGAACAGAAGAGCAAATGAGGTTAAGTTGTGCTTAGCATGAAGATGCTGTTGATATCATTGACAGTGCTATTTGAACCCTGAACAAATTCCTGTTACAGTACTGCTGCTTAACTCTTCTTGTCTATGCTGTGTTCACCTGTCTGCTGGAATTGTCAATGTAAAAGTAATGACTACATTCCAAATGTAATTCGTTGGTCCTGACCTCCTTGAGAAGAGATAAAATGAACATAATTGCAAATTATCTCTCGCTTCCTCTGTAGCCAGTGGAGGTGTTCATCTTAGGTAAGATTAAAGTGCAGTTCCCTTCAACCATTAATGGAAAATAGATGTAGAGAGAAGATATATGGGCCTGTGCATGAAATAACCCTGTATGCATTCATTTGTTGTACAAACACAAATATAATTTATAATTCTGTTCATGTTTACTGTAATTGCTTCTGTACAGGTATTTCTCCTATTACGTGACAGTTGCGTTCTTGTGTGACCTCGCGCTATTGAAAATCGTTATACTGTGCAGAAAGCTTGCATTATCCAAACAGCATCCACTATTCAAGTCAAATGTCAAAAACCAGTCAAATGCGTTACACCCACTTCGTGTTAACGAAACACGCATTATAGCAGAAATACCTGTACTGTACTAAAAAGTTTGGCACCATAACATTTTGACTCTGTGTTCTCAGCGATATATTATTCTTGTTGTTTACAGGTCCCGTGCTTTACCAAAATTGAAAGAATCTCGTTCTCATGAGTCGTTGCTGAGTCCTGGAAGTGCGGTTGAATCTTTGGAATTAAGTATGGAGCAAGATGTTTTCGTTAAACCTTTGCACAGTAGTATCCTTGGGCAAGACTTCTGCTTTGAGGTACTGTATCATCATCTAACTGGGCTCAATAAGAAGAGTAACTATTACGAGTCATGGAGATGTATATCATCAAAACAGCCCCTTTGGTTCAACTTGTTCATGCCAATCAGATATCCTAAATTAATCAAGTCATATTTGCCACTTTTTGGCCACATCTATCTAAATCCTTCCTATTCATGTGTGCATCCAGGTGCCTTTTAAATGTTGTAATTGTACCAGCCTCTTCCATTGCCGCTGGCAGCTCATTCCTTACATGCACCACCCTTCGTGTGGAAAAAGTTGCCGCTTAGGTCTCTTTTAAATCTTTCCCCTCTGAACTTAAACCTATGTCTTCTAGTTTTGGACTCCCCTACGCTGGGGAAAAGACCGTGGCTATTCACACTCTCCATACCCTTCTTGATTTTATAAACCTTGATAAGTTTAAAATAGCCCCAGCCTATTCAGCCTCTCCCTACAGCTCGAACCCCCCCAACTCTGGCAAGATCCTTGTAAATCTTTTCAGAACCATTTCAAGATTCACATCATTCTTCCTATAGGAGGGAGACCGGAATTGCATGCAACGTTCCAGCATTGGCATTACCAATGTCATGTACAGCTGCAACATGACTTCCCAACTCCTTTACTCAGTGCACTGACCAATAAAGCAAGTGTACTAAATGCCTTCTTCACTACCTTTTCCGCCAGCGACTCGAATTCCAAGGAACTGCGAACCTATACCCAAGGTCTTTTTGTTCGGCAGCACGCCCCAGGACCTTACCATTCGGTGTATTAGCCCTGTCCTGATTTGCTCTACCAAAATGCTGCACCTCACATTTATCTCAATTAAACTCCATCTGCCACTCCTCAACCCATTTGCTCATCTTTTTATGGGGCTGACCAAATATCTCAGAATTAAGGTAGCAGAAACCAGTCTATTCAGGCCATAGTTGCATCCTGAAATGCTATGAGGCGGCACAGCCACAGCAGGCACATATGACTTGTATTTCCCACAGTTACTAGTCTCATTCATTTTGTAATCCATGAGTAGTCACTGAGCATCCTGTAAAAGTCAAATGTAATACTTTAAATCACATCAGGCATTCCAGGATAAGATCAGTGAGACAGCGTGTTCTGACAGGATGATGCAGTGGAGCTATTTATAAGAACTGTAATATAAAGTACCATTGATAGGGTAGGATCTTTTTCACAGGGAAGAGTAGCAAATGAGGTTGAGAGGTTTTCTGCTGCTTTTGCCTACCTCTTGTTGGCTACTTTCTGAACTGCATTGAGAAAGGCCATGTGCAAATTTTACACACTGCCACAATAAGATATTTAGGGAGGGGAGATCAGCAGTAGATAACTATTTTGGAAAAGGGATGTTGACCTATAGCTAATACATCTTGGGTGGAATCTAGCATTGACCAGGAGTTTGCAGTCATCACACAGTCATCACAAAGCAATGATTGTTTCATAGTAGTTAGAGATTTTGATAGGTGTATAGCAGAGTGTGGACTGTAGAATATGCTGCCAACGAACACTTAAATATATATTTTATATAAGTATTGTTTTTTCTTTATTCTTCTATTTGTGATTTCGCATGTCTGAATCATACCCTAGCCAGTGAAATGATTTTCTGACAATAACTAACCTTCTGCACAGTCGTTTATCACTGGCTTCAACTTCACAAATGTCAGTAACGTACCCTGAGCAGGAATTCATCTTGTACCCTTCTGTGGCACACACCATTCAAATGAAAATCTGAGTTACACTGTAGAATCTAGCTTGCAAGTGTATTTGACCTATACAGTTATGTATAAGAATTCTGACTCCCTCATCCTGCTATCCTAAGAGATACTTGAAATCAAACAGCTCTCCAGATTCACTGCTGGGTCAGACAGCAGTGCCGGTTTATTTTTCCATTTAATTCTCTTCCCATGTGGTCACTACCTTAGTCTGTCTTCCTCCTTTTTAAAGTGCAGTTGTTTTGATCTTTCTTATCCCTAAAATCCCAAAGCAATGCAATGTCTTATAAAACAGTAATTACTGCTCCTATAATTCGAGGGAATAAGCTCCAGCACTGAAAATACCTCTTACGGCCACAATTTTTTCCCGTCCTCCATCTTTGATTACCCAAAATCAGGATTTACTGTGGCGAAGGATATGGAAGATATAGAACATGGGGAAATAAATAGCGATATCTTGAAATATGTCCATATTATAGAGGAGATGGTGCTGGATGGCTTAAAATGCAGAAAAGTGATAAATCCCTGGGACCTGATCAGGTGCACTGTAGAACTGTGGGAAGCTGGAGAAGTTGTTGTCGGGCCCCTGCTAAGATATTTATATCATCGATAGCCGCAGGTGAGGTACAGCAAGACTGGATGTCGGCTAACGTGGTGCCACTATTTAAGAAAAGTGCTGAGGAAAAGCCAGGGAACTATAGACCGGTGAGGCTGAGAGTGGTGGTGGGCAAGTTGTTGGAGCGAATCCTGAGGGACAGGATTTACACCTATTTGGAAAAGCAAGGACTGATTAGAGGATGGGAGTTGGGAGATCATGCTGCCACTGTACAGGACATTGGTTAGGCCACTTTTAGTATACTGTGTACAATTCTGGTCTCCATCTTATAGGAAGGATGTTTTGAAATTAGAAAGGGTTCAGCAAAGATTTACGAGGATGTTGCTAGTGTTGGAGGATTTGAGCCACAGGGAAAGACTGAGTAGGCTGGGGCTGTTTTCCCTGGAGCATCGAAGGCTGAAGGGTGACCTTTATAGAGGTTTATAAAATCATGAGGGGTATGGATAGGGTAAATAGACAAGGTCTTTTCCCCAGGGCAGGGGAGTCCAAAACTAGAGGGCATAGATTAAAGGTGAGAGGGGAAAGATTTAAAACGGACCTAAGAGGCAACGTTTTCATGCAGAGGGTGATGCATGCATGGAACGAGCTGCCAGAAGAAGTGGTGGAGGCTGGTACAATTTACAACATTTAAAAGGCATCTAGATTGGTATATGAATGGGAAGGGTTTAGACAGATATGGGCTAAATGCTGGCAAATGGGACTAGATTTATTTCAGAAATCTGGTCAGCATGGACAAGTTGGACCGAAGGTCCAAATGCTGTACATTTCTATGACAGTATATCCTGATATTGTTGGATGCAGTTATTGCTTGTTTTCATTGTAGAAGTAATTAATTGTTACTTCTCCTGCAAGGAATGTTTTTTGAGATCTGCTCATTTCTGGATTTTTTATTTTCTAGATCTTAGAATGAAAGAATAGATGGTGTTTTCTGCATTAAATTAGCTATAACCCTTTCAGACTCAAACATTTTCCCAAGTCTTTATTCCCTCATACTATTGTTGCTGTATATTTATTAACATACTTTAAATTTACTACTACCCCATCTTCCACCCATCCCCAACAATTTGACTTCGCAAATTTAAACGATCCAGAGATTTCATGGTTCTCCCTGAGCAAGTTCCCTTTAGAATTGAAAGAATGATATTTGTTGGATATAACGTAGTTGACATAGTTTGTTTTCTGATGGTCTGAAACCAGGTTGTTCACTTCCATGGTCACGTTACTTGGAGATGCATTCTTGCTTGACGCTTACAGTTAGGGATTCTTCTTTGAAAGTTGGGGAAGTTGGATATTTTTTGACCTTGTCCCTTCTTAATTACCTTAGCCCCTCATGGCAGCTTTGAATTTGGGAGTAGATCACAGTGGTGTGTAGCATTCTGCCTCCATTCAGTTGCAGATGTTCCTATTGTCTGTCTGTCACTATACACCCTCTAAAATGATGTAACAGGTTCACTTGGCAGTGGGAGAGCATTTTAGTGATTGCAACTCCAAACATCATATATTTTAAATTTGTTCTTCAAAATGAAAAAGGTGGTCTGCAAAAAGAAAGGGCTTTGGATTGGGGTAAGGCAGACTTATTAAAATAAGACAGGATTTGGCCAAAGTAAACTGGGAACAATTACGTTTCAGTAAATCTACAACAGAACAGTGAAGTGATTGTTCAAAATAGACATGCCAACAGTACAGGCCCAACATGTTCTCTTTAGGGTGAAATCTCCGAGCAACAAGTCTAGAGAATCCTGGATGTCTAGGAATATTCAGGACAGGATAAAAAGGAAAAAAAAAACCAACAGGCTTTTAACAGGTACAAAGGGAGCAAATCAACAGAGGCCCCAGTGGAATAGAAAAAGTACAAGAGAGAACTTAAGAAAGCAAATAGGAGAGCAAAGTGAGGACGTGAACAGAAGTGGCAGGTAAGAGAGATTCCCAAATCTAAGCATATGGAGGGGAAAGAAGATAACCAGGGAAAGAATTGTACAAAAGGGAGATCTTAAATGGGGCAATATTTCAGGGTGAAAGGGCAGTAATTTTAAAAAAGTTGCAATTTGATCAGGTGCCGTAGTATATGGACATCATGAGGAAGGGCTGGTAAAACAAAACGATAGATCCACAAGAGAAAGCTCATAGGCTTTGGGAGTGGACAGCAAGGATAATAATTAACCAAGCCATATATAGCAGAAAAGTGTTGGGCAATTTGAAGAAGTATGTAATTCTGAGCGAACAGAATTTTTCCTGGGAGCCTCCATTACATTCACAGAAGGTGGAAAGACCTCCATTTCAGTTGTACAGCACAGTAAAACACTAATGCAGCAAAGCATAGGAGAACTGTCATTACTGTAGAATCAAATTGATTAAAGAAAATACCTAATCACATTAGGAAGCTGTGGTATCAGAAATAGTATTGTCAGGATGACTTAATTTCAGAGAAGCCTATTAGAACACCAAATTGGACATCATGAAGAAAATAATTCTTGGCTTCTAAATGGGACATAAAGGCAGAGACTCAACGAGTCAATACATTTCTGTACACAATGAGAAATACAGCAAGTGATATTATTAATCACTAGGGGTAAAAGAAACATCAGACAAATTTGAAGGGGTACTGAAAGCCTTGGAAAGTTATTTCAACTCCAAAACTAATGAAGTTCCTGAAAGGGCAAAAT